ATTACGATACCAATTCCATTCGATTCAAAGTCAAAGTCCGTCTGACCGATCCAGCGGCTGGGTATAATGGCTTGAGCGCTGATTTGACCGCTGCGTCAGATGCCAACAATTCCAAGAGCACGTACTGCGTTAACAATTTTGGACACTCCATCTTTCGAGATATCACCCTGAGCATGAATGGAGTCCTCATGACGGAACAGAGCAACACCTACCATTACAGAGCCTACCTAGAAACCCTCCTGAACTACAACCGAGAAGAAGGGGCCACCAAGTTAGCCCCCCAAGGATGGGTCAATGCCCTCAATGTGGTGAATATCATGGGAGCCACAGGAGCCAATTCGGATATCCCCACGAACGCTGGATGGAGTGGCAATACAGAATTGCGTGCCTTGACGAGCCGATTGCTGAGCGAAAATTGGCACACCTTCCTCATTCGTCCCCATTTGCCACCCCTCCGAACAGGCAAATTGTTGGTCCCCAATATCCAAATGGACTTTGAACTCTTCCTCAACCCCAACACCGTCTACATGATGGGCACCCCCAACAAAGGCACCTTGGTGGCCAAGAAATTTCCAGCCATTCACCCAGAAGACATCAAAGTCACCTTGTTGATGAGAAAAGTGACCTTGAATGCCAGTGTCTATGTGAGACTGCAGAAAGAAAGACAGCTGGGCAAACAAATTGCCCGCTACCCTGTGGTGCGGAGCGAAATCCGGACCTTTTCCTTCGATGGACGCACCACCCAGTGGGAACAAGACAATGTGTTTGTGGGTCGATTTCCTGACCGAGTGATGGTCGGGTTATTGCATTCAGATGCCTTCAATGGAAACCTACAACGCTACCCCTTTGCCTTTGAAAAGTTTGGAGTCACCCAAATACGTCAGACCTTGAATGGAGAAGAATACCCTTACAGAACCCTGCAACTGACTGGAGACCAAGCCTATGAAGATCTCCTGGGGTACGATCGATTTCTACAAGCCATGGGTGCCTACAATGAAGACAAGATTCCCATGCTACTGCCTGGAGATTGGGGCCAAGGCAAGAACTGCACGTTGTTCCTGTTCAACAATGTGCCTAGTGGAAAAGCCGATGATCCTCAGTATCGCAACCCCCGTCAATCGGGCAATACGCGACTGATCATTGATTTTGCTGCTGCGGTGGGACACAACATCACCGTGTTGGTCTGGAGCGAGTATGAAAACATGTATGAGATCAATCACATGGGAGGTATAAAATACAACATCAACGGCTGAAGTAGTATCAGAAGACAGAAGACACCGGGCATGGAGTTTGTGGCGCTCAGTGATAGGGTGCTGCGGACCCTGGCCCTAGAAGATCCCACGTTGCGACGCGTGTTTCATGGCGTGTACCCCGCCGACCAGTTACCCCGTTCACCCCCCAAGAGTATCCGTCAAGCCTACATTGTCAACACGGATCCAGCGGGAGAACCGGGACAACATTGGTTGGGTCTATGGACGGAACAGAACAAGTGCGAAATCTTTGACAGTTATGGGTTGCCCCTGCACGTGTACACCCACCCCGACCTGCACCAATGGTGGAGTCAATGGAAGCACCTGATCCGTAGTGACCAGACCTTGCAAGCCCTGGATAGTCAGACCTGTGGCCATTATGCGTTATTTTTCTTGAAAGCCCGTGCCCAAGGCCAGTCCTATCAAGACTTTTTGGGGCAATGGAGTTGCGACAATTTAGTGTTGAATGATCAGAAAGTGGCTGATCGCTTGAAACGGGTAATTAAACAAGAAGTCCAAGATGAAGTCGATGCCCGCCCAGAGGAGGGAGGGCAAAAGAATGTGAGCCGCCAGGCCTTTATGCTTTGTAATCCTTGTGAGTGTTGAAATAAAAAAAACACCATAAAACGAGAGGTGCTGTGTTCGAGGGGTCATTTGAACTTTCATCATGATTACGCGAGGGGATGTCCAGCGGGTGATCGATGCCTTCATATTAGAAGAAACCCTGTATTGGTGGTCCCACCCCATTGAACGGGTGAACACCGTCCAAGGGGTAGATGCCTGGGATGGGTATCATTGGCTCATAGCCCGCCAACTGGCCCAAGACCAAGATTGGGTCGCTCTCAAACAGTACATGGACACTATGCAAGAAACGCATTTAAGAGAGACGATGGAACACTTGATTCAGTTCGAATCGCCACGCCTCTACCGCGAGTATTGGACAGCATGCCCAGCCACAGACGACAACGACGGCAGCGCGCTTCCTCCCAACGACGACCCCGCTTTCGTCAAAACGGACGTGGCATCATGAGCGTGTTGGCCAAAGCGTATAAAATCGGTGACAAATTGGGACGTGACAAACGGTATAAGCGTATGGGCGCGAAAGGGGCCACGGGTCATTATCGACGTCACCCTCGACCGTGGGAAGGATGATTCGACAGCCCAGTAGTGTGATTATCGCGGGCCCGTCGGGCAGTGGCAAGAGCGAGTTAGTGGAACAATGGTTACGGGACCTGAACGTGTTTCAAGTCAAACCTAAGAAGATCGTCTACGCGTACGACCGATGGCAACCCCGGTTTGAGCGTATGCAAAAGAAAGAGGGAATCCAATTTCATCGCGGGTTACCGGACCCCCGTCATTTAACCCAATGGTTTGGCCGGACGCGCGGTGGCGTGCTGGTCTTGGACGATTTGATGGAAGAAGGGGGACAGGACAAACGCGTGTTGGATTTGTTCACCAAAGATTCCCATCATCGCAACATCACCGTCTTGTATTTGACGCAAGATTTATTCCCGCCGGGTAAATTTGCCAAGACCATTAATCGCAACGCGCATTACATTGTGGCCTTCAAGAACCCTCGGGATCAAACGGGCATACGCACCATTTTACTGCAAGCCTTTCCCGAACGATGGCGTCAAGTCTTGCGCCTATTTAAACGCATCACGTCCCGTCCCTTTGGCTATTTGATGTTGGATGTGCACCCGGCCTCGGATGATCGGTACCGCTTGTGGAGTCATTTAACGCGCCGAGAAGGCAAGGCGCAAGTCCATACCTTGCCCGTGGATGTCCCTGCCGTTCGAAAACGAGCTGCAACGAGAACTCGCCCGGGTCCGTCGGCAAAGAGAAGGCGGACAACAACGTGACTTATCGGAGCGCATGGATACCCCGACCTTCTCGCCTGCCGGGGTGGGGTCCCCGACCTCGCCCTCGGTACTTCGGGACCTTAGTAGCATGACAGACATGGTGGCAGAATTGACCCAACCCGTGGATCGAGCCCAATTGGATCAAGAAATTGAGGATTTTCAATTGACCTACCCGGTCAATGTGGACGATGCCCTGAATGCCTTTACGTTACCCCCCGTGGCAGGCACAGGCACTACCACCACCACGGCACCGCCACCACCACCCACGATCACCACCGCCCCTACCACGACAGCCACCCAAACCCGTCCCACCACGTCCACCCGCACACGTCCTACGGCCACCACGACCACCACCAGCTCCAGACGACCCAGACCACGCCCTGTCACCACCGCTACGACCACCACGGCTCCCTCCCGCCCCTCTACGTCCCGACGTAGTGCTGGAGCAGGCACCAGGACCACCACGTCCACGGTGACGACCCCGACGGGCCGTCCCACCGTGGCCGCCAAACAACCGCGACGACGTCCCCGCGTGCCCTCTCCACCGTCCCCCGGTTCCTCCCCTCCTTCGGAGGATGAGGATGAAGATGATGATGATGACGATCGAGGACGAGGCTTAAGGCGACGGTTGGATTTGTTGAACGAAGATGCCCAAGAACGGGCGCGAGGGAGACGCATTCGCAATATCACGCATACCAATACGGTGACCACCGTGTATGAAGAGGGAGGCCGACCGTCGGTACGCCGCACGTCGACGCGAACGTCCGGTCCACCCCCACCCCGCCGAGGCCGTGGCCGTGGCCGTGGCCGAGCCCGTGGACGGGGACGACGCTCGTGAAGCTATAAAACCAGGAGCCTGCCTTCGACGGTCCCCAAAACCATGTGTGGTCAATGTCGAAGCGGGATGGCCCCTCGACGCAAACGCAAACGCACCACGACCCGACGTCGACGCAAGATGAAGGGTGGGACGGTGCCGTACATGGTGAATTTCAAGAAAGGGTTTGAGTTGTTGACGACCCCGGATACGTGGAAGATACCTTCCAAAACCGAAATCAAGTCCGCCAAACGACAAGTGGCCGACTACAAACGCCAGTATCGTGCCAGTGGTACGAGGGATTCGTACAACACGTGGTTGGTCAAGAAAGGGTACGCCAAAAAAACGGGGTGCAGTGTGATGTGAACATGTATAAAAAAGAGGCTGGCGGGGGTCAGCGCTTAGAACTGTCATGGGACCCCAACGCAAACGCAAGCGCACCACGACTCGGCGTCGCCGACCCGTCAAACGACGACGAAGGGGTCAAGTAGGGGGTGTCTCGCCTGGCCTGCCTATCGGGATTCTCAAAGCCGGGTATGGGGCCACTAAAGCCATCGGGGAGCATCAAACCAAGCGAGCCATTAAAATTGCCGACAAACGCCGACGAGACGTGGAATCCGGCAAACGGAAACGCTATGCGGGGGAATCGTTTAATTGTTCGATCATGTGATGAAAATGTATAAAAAGACCTTTGTGGGCCTGAACAGGCGTTAGTTGAAGGATGGTCCGTGGACCCAATGGACGCCGACACCGTTATGTCCCCCGAAAACGACGCCGTCGACGCGGTCTGCAACGCGGAGGTAGGCTACCGTTGTTGGCAATGGCTCTCTCGCCTTTGTGGCTCCGAAAATACAAACCCAGGATCCGTGTTCGTCGACCGGACTAGACCCCCTCGCAAGGCCATCACGTTGACGTTAGAATGGACGGAGGAGATCGAGGCCGTGTTGTGTCAACGCTGTCGACGTCATATGCAACGGCATTATCATGGGGAACTGTGTCGCCAGTGTGGGGCCCAATTTACCATAAATAGAGCGGGGTCGTGGCAATTCCTGAACCTTCAGCATGGCGTGGCGCATGGAACGTCAAGCCCCGTTCTTGAAAAGTGTCTTACAAGAAGCCAATCAACATAAACGACAAGAATTGTTACGGATGGCCAATGCGGATCAGATCAATGCCATCAGTGAATTAGTGATGAACACGCTCCGTGGCACGGTGCCCCGTTCTCGACATACTATCACGTTGCTCAAACCGCATGCCCAAAGTTTACGCGCCATGGCCAAACCCGCGCATTCGGTGAAACGACGGCGCGCCATCATGATGGCTCAAACAGGCGGCGCTCTCTGGCCGGAACTCTACCGATGTTATAAACGTTGCATGCGCTAAAGGAGACACGTCAGTTGCACCATGGAACCCGAGATGGTGAGCACCACGGTGGACAACGCCCCTGCTTTTTTACAATTAAAAGAAAAGTACAAACAAGAATTGGTGGAAGATACTCGCTTGAGTAAAGCCGCGGATTTGGCGGCCAGACAACATGTGCTCCTGACCAGTGAGGTCCCCGATGCCTGGAAACGACCGCAACTCAAAGCCGTGAGCCGTCAGTTACGCCATTGGACCAAAAAAGTGCGTCAACCCTTTGGAGCGCCCGCGGGAGGTGTGAGTGCTGCAGGGGCTGCCACGCCCGGCAAGGATGATGATTTTGAGGCGGGGCCGATGCAAGCGTGGTTCACGCAATTGGTCAAAGCCACCAAAGGTATAAAACAAGGCTCCACGCCAGCTGGGCCCAGAAAACCACCTGTCCCGCCTAAACCGAACATCACCCCGAGTGCTAAAAAGAAACTCAAGTTTACGCCTCAACTGAGTAGTGCTGAGTTGGCACACGAGTTGCCTTTTTCAGACAGGCACGGTACAGCACCCTGGGAAACCCCTAAAGAACGGGCGGACTCGATCACGAAATCAATCGCGCGTGATATTCGCAAACGCACGACAGACTCTGCCAAAAAGAAAGCCGCCAGTATCGCCAAAAAGAAAGCCGCTGGGCTCGCCAAGAAAGTCTTGGATTGGAAATCGTGGAAAACCCCGTGATGGGTCGGAGACGTCGTGGGACAGCTACCTCCCGTACCCGACCGAGGCGACGCCCACGACGATCGCAACGCGGGGGCAAGTTATTTGATGTGCAAAACCTCCTCAACAAGACGGGCATTGAATTTCATTGGCCCGGCTATCAGTACATGGGCCCTGGCACCCATTTGAAAAAACGGTTGGCCCGTGGGGATCCCGGCATCAACCGGTTAGACAGGATTGCGAAAGTGCATGACATGGACTATGATAAAGCCAAGACGTTGAAAGATAAATGGGTGGCGGATCGCAAGATGATTGCCAAGATTGATCAACTCCCTGGTAGTAAAACCCTGACGGAGCGTATTGTGAGACGCATTATGAAAACTAAACTGAGATTGGGCATGTAATTAAGTGGACCACAGTTATCACACAATGGAATGATTTAAATCACATGGTTTAATAAAACTCACATTTTGTTCTTACAAGTATTGTTGTAACTGTTGTAAGGCATTGGAACGGGATGATTGCACAGGGTCCTCGTCAGATTCGGAGTCGGACCAGTCTAGCGGACACCACGGGAGGGGAAAGGGACGTTCCAAATGTTCGGCCAAGCGTTGGTTTTGTTGAGCTTGGATCCGCTTCTGATATTTTTCTTTCTGCAACGCTCTCCACCCCTCTTCCCCCAAGGCTTGTTGTTTTTCGGCCCGGAGTTGTCGCCGCCGTTCGTTCAATCGGTGTTTGTAGGCCTCGTACGTCCCTTCCTCCTTCATTTTCTGCATCCAGTTTTTCTGGGCTTGGGCGTTTCTCTTTTTTACTTCACTCCGCTTTTCCTCCGACATGGCATAATAGCGTTTCATCCCATATTCTAGTTTTTTGGCTTTAAAGGCCTCGTACTCCCCTTTGGCTTTCAAGTTTGCCATGTGCTGGTGGTAACGTCGACGATGGAGGGCCTTTACTTTTTCGATCCCGTTCACGGATGCATACAGACGTTTCCGATACAGTTTTTGGGTTCGTTTGTTGGCCTCGGGGTCCCGTTTTTTTCGGCGCGATGCTGGCGTATCCATACTTTAATTCTAGCCAACGGGAAGAACACACGTCCGCCAAGGCTCGTAATTTTCGAAAGGGACTCTCTTTGATTTGTCGATCCCTGGCACGACGGTCCCGTTGCTGTTGCACAATCTGTTCGCGGTGTTTGTGGTAGTAATCTCGGTTCAATAGACGCACGTAGGCCGCGTTTTTGGTGCGGTAGCGCAGACAGGCCAGTCGGTTAAGTTCTGGGGCTCGGGCTTCCTGTTCGGGGGTCGGCGCTGGTTTAGGCGGTTTGGGGGGTTTCACCTTTTTCTGGGCCGCCCGCTTTTCCCGTTTCTGCTGTAATAATCTCTCCTTATTCTTGACGTACCACGCGTGTTTCAACTCTCTTGCTTTCTCAGGATTTTTGTTAGGCATTTCTCAAACGCAACTGACGTCTGTTCTGATGGACAGACTTTATCTAAGGTTCTATCGGCCAATCACCGATCTCGGTCCAGACCTAGAGGCGATGGAAGAAGTCTGTACCCATGGGGGGGACCCCCCTCAATCTTCTTCCTGTCCATCAAACCCCCTCACCTGACTCTCACCTGAGCTGGGTCCACCAATCCCAGCGCAGGCGAGATCACGTGAGACGGTCTATAAAAGTCTACGTCCAGCGCGGGAAAATTCAAATTGTTGCCGCTGTCATGGCGGAGGCATATCCATTCAGTGATGATGACGAAGGGGATGCTCTATTGGACCGCGCCTATGATCGGTGGGAACAGTTGGGAGGGGCTGCTGTCCGTGGCCCTCTCTTTCAATTCACTATGCAACCTATCGGTCGACGACGCCGCTGGCGTGATGTGGTGGAACGGGCGCAATTCAATGCGCAATTACGGCAATTGCGGGATCCTGTGCCTGGAGATAATATTGGGTTGGCGTTGACCGAAGCACTCCATCAAGCCATTGAAACAGAACTGGGCCGTGAGCAGCGACCTGCCCATCATTTTGTGAATTTTGCTATCACAGCGCATGGATTCACCCATGCTTACCAAACCGCCAATTTTACCGTGGGGGAGTTTTTACAACGCACTGCCCGTTTGGATGAAATGTTAGCGACCTTGGCCGGCAAGTTGAACAGTAATGAAGCCTTCAACCCCGACCATGGGTTCCAAGTCGATGTGGTGTTTGTCTCCATGCCTGGTCCAGGGTCTGGTCGACATAAAGAACGCAATCCTGGTCGACTATGCCTGGATCGAGAAAATAAGAAAAAAAAATGTATTATCACTATTCGAAACAGAGATGCCCTATGCTGTGCTCGCGCGATCGTCACCATGCGTGCCCACTGCCATAAAGATCAAGGCGTGGACGGGTTTCGCGACTGGGACAATCTCAAACGGGGACGTCCTGTGCAGTCACGTCAAGCCCAGGCCCTCCATCAGCAAGCAGGGGTGGCTGAGGGTCCCTGTGGTTTACCCGAGCTGCGTCAATTTCAACAGGCGTTAGGACCTCAATATCAACTCTTGGTGATGACCCGGATGAAACCGTTTTTTCTCATCTTCAAAGGCCCTGACGCGCCTCATCCGATTCGTTTATTGAAATCTGATGATCATTTTGATGGATGCACGTCCTTTCCGGCGTTTGTCAACCGCTCGTATTATTGCCTGGACTGTGAACGGGGGTTCAACACCAACGACCGGACTCATCACAGTTGTCAAGGAAGACGCTGCAAAGCGTGTGGTCGATTTGACTGTCCAGAGTATGTGCGTGGTACCCGCCCTACGGACTATTGCCCCTTCTGTCATCGCAAGTTTTACGGTGAGCAATGCAAACGTCATCATGTGGAAAGCCGGCAATGTCAATCCATCAAAACCTGTCTCAAGTGCCAGGCCCAGTACAACGTTCTCCCTAACCGACGTCACCAGTGTGGGTACGCCAAATGTCCTGTGTGTCACGAATGGGTGTCTATCCAATACCATAAGTGTTACATTCAACCCGTGGTCGAGAATGAGGAAGAAGAAGAAGAACCCACAGAGGAGGGGGGAGGTAGCATGGTGGCGCCACCCCCTCCCCTGTTTGTTTACGCCGATTTTGAAGCCATGCAGAATGCGGAAGGTGTGTTTGTGGCCAATTTGTTATGTTATTCGTCCAGTGAAGAAACGACCATTCATGTGTTGGACGGAGAAGACTGTGCCCTCCAATTTTTGCATGATTTGGATGCTCTCACGGACATTCCAGACAGTGAGAGTGAACGGGGGATTCTTGTGGTGTTTCACAATTTGAAAGGCTTTGATGGTATGTTTATTTTGCATGAACTGTACCAGCAACAACGCGAGGTGGTGGATCAATTGACCGTGGGCGCTAAAGTGTTGTCCTTCAGGAGTGGACCCCTCAAATTCATTGACTCGTTGTGTTTCCTGCCCATGCCATTGGCCTCGTTTCCTAGCACCTTCAATTTGACCGAATTAAAGAAGGGCTTTTTTCCGCATTTGTTTAATACCCCGGATCATCAACAGTATGTGGGCCGCATCCCTGATTTGGAATTTTATGATCCCGAGGGTATGATGGCCAAAAAGAAAGACGAACTGACGCGTTGGCATGCCGACCAAGTCCGTCGTAACGTACGTTTTGATTTCCGGCAAGACATGATCGAGTACTGCAAGTCGGATGTGGCGCTGTTGAAAGCGGGGTGTGAAGCTTTTCAGCAAGAATTTGAACAGCAGGCTGGTTTCAATCCCATGGCCAAATGCATCACCATCGCCAGTGCCTGCAATCTCTATTGGCGCAAGCACCATTTGACTCCCGACACCATCGCTGTCGAACCGCTCAGGGGTTGGCGAGGCGCCCAAGTCAATCAATCCCTCAAGGCCCTACAGTGGCTGTACTACCAAGAACATCTTCTTCCTAAAGAGGGAGCCAGTGCCGATCGTATTCGACATGTCCGGAATGGGGGCGAGCAGTTTGTCCGGACCTTCGTGAACAGTTATTTTGTCGATGGCTACGATCCTCTGACCCGCACTGTCTACGAATTTCATGGGTGTCTCTACCATGGCTGTCCCACTTGTTATCCTATGAGAAACGCCAAACATTATGCCACACCGGATCGAAGCGTGGAGGAACTGTATCAAGCCACGCTCTCTAAACGTATGGCTCTGCTTCGAGCGGGTTACACGGTGATCGAAATGTGGGAGTGTGACTGGGACAAGTTGGTGGCCATGGATGAAGCTGTCCAACGTTTCCTGACGTCGTTTGATTTGGTGGCACCCTTGGAACCCCGCGAGGCCTTCTTTGGGGGTCGCACCGGTGCGGTGGCCCTGCATGCCGTGGCTGGGGAAGGGGAGGAAATACGATATGTGGATGTCACGTCCCTGTACCCATGGGTGAATAAGAACTGCCCTTACCCTATCGGTCATCCCCAGATCATCACCCAGCCCGCCGACCAGTCTTTGGCGTCCTATTTTGGTATTGCTACGGTGGACATTCTGCCCCCGGCTGGTCTATTCCACCCGGTCTTGCCTGTACGCTGTGGCCAAAAGCTCACGTTTCCTCTCTGCCGTGCCTGTGTCCAGACAGAGCAAGCCCAACCCATGTTGACCCGAACCCAGTACTGCCCTCATTCCGACGCGGATCGTACACTACGTGGGACCTGGTGCACGCCCGAATTGGTCAAAGCGGTGGAAAAGGGGTACACCCTGATCAAAATCCATGAAGTCTGGCATTTTTCCCCCGAGCAACGCCAAACGGGTCTTTTCGCTGAGTACGTCAATACCTGGCTCAAACTCAAGCAAGAATCTGCGGGGTGGCCCAGTTGGTGTCAGACCCTCGAGCAGAAACGCGAGTACATTCATCGCTACCAGGAACGGGAGGGGATCCGACTGGACATTGCCAGTATTGCCAAAAACCCTGGTCGTAAGGCCACCGCCAAACTCATGCTGAATAGTTTCTGGGGCAAGTTTGGCGAGCGGATCAACAAACCCACCACCGTCACCGTTCAAAACCCCGCCCATTTGTTCAGCCTCGTTTCCGATGCGGCTCTTGATCTCAGTACGCTCCGCCTCTGTACCGACGACATTTTGGAAGCCGTCTACACCAGTGTCCAAGACAATGCTGTCAAAGGCACCAAGACCAACATCTTTGTGGCGGCGTTCACCACGTGTCATGCCCGATTGAAACTCTACGAGTCCCTGGACACTTTCCAGCAGCAAGTGCTTTATTATGATACCGACAGTGTAGTGTACAAGTGGCGTCCCGGTCAACCCAGCATTACCACTGGGGATTTTCTAGGGGACATGACGGATGAATTGGACGGGGATGTCATCACCGAGTTTGTTTCGGGGGGCGCCAAGAATTATGGGTACACGACCCGTGGAGGTAAAGTGGTGTGTAAGGTCCGCGGTTTCACGTTGAACGTCCGGGGGTCGGCCATTCTCAATTTTCATACCATGAAAGAGAACATTCTCTCAGAATTAGACTCGCCTCAGGACACTCGTCGAAATTTGAACATTGTCAACCCCTATCATTTCACACGGGATTTGGAAAAGAAACACATTCAAGTGGTTCCGCGCGTGAAGCAGTATGGATTGGTGTTTGATAAGCGTGTCATTGATGTGTCTACTCAATCCAGCTATCCCTATGGCTACGAGAGGATTGGGGACGAATTGGATCTTCTATTAGATTTGTAAACAATGGGCGTGACGTCACTAGGACCTCACACACGTCCCGGATGTAACTTAGGGTTTACGTGGTACGTTCATTAAAACCCATGCAATGATGTTGTCCTCAATAGAGTGTGTTTTTATTGACTTCCGGGGAATGCGAGGGGACTGGGGCTTTGGTTTGAGCGTCTCCCTTGTACCCAGGTTCTACGCGGTCCTTTCAAACTATGCCAAGTATGCGGATCCACCTCTTGGGTGGGGTCACGTGATTTTTATGCCCATATTTGGGAGCTTTGACGTCACTTTGGTCACATGGGCTGTATGCTTGATTCTGATTGGTCGAGAAAAATTTTGTTGCGCTGTGATTGGTTAGTCCCATTTGTAGCCTCATGTACTACTGACACGAAAAGGAGAGTCGCCGTCACTTCAAGCTTATGGGTTGTAATGGCGTTTCAGATATTCACCCTAGTTAACGATTTTCCATCTCTTTTGTCAAATGCAGGCAAATTTACTGCGGCTGTGGCGGTTGTGCATCGCCTGTTATGGACTTTACGTTATGTCATATTACATCATCTGGGAGTATCCTTTTTCCAAGTTTATCGACGACATATAAATGACGTTTTTTAAAAATATTTATTTAAAAAATAGCAGTGAACGTATTTCCCGCAGCTATGGCGTTTTTTCTCGTTATCCTCTCATTGCTTCAGAAGTTGATTCCAATCTTTATAGAACACGCTAAAAGGGTTCCGAGACGTTGGGATGTTACCGTGGAAACGGTGGGATTCTTTGTTCTTGTTTACAGTCGATTTATGGCCATGCCGATATTTTTCTTTCTAACACTCGTTGTTCAAATTTACATCCTGGAACTGAAGGACTTCCAAGAACAGATACAGCAAAGTGACAAAACTCTAACGGAACTTTATCCTCTCAGAGTATCTGGGGACATTCCCCGTTTTTCTTTGTGAAACTGTGTTTCTACTCTCCCTCCCGTCACCGCATAAATCAAGTCAAATAAGCTCACAACTCAGCCGTTTGATACTCACCGTATCCACTCTCGATAGCGAGGATCAGCGCCGAAGGGGATTTGCGTTAAAGACAGAACAAAAAATAGCTCTGTTGCTGGTCTGTTAGAAAGGCACCAGAGATATGGAAACGTTGGGTTTAAAGTTGCTGGCCTTCATATAACACAACTAAAATCTGTCTGGTCACAGACTCTTCTTGGTCCCGTTATTGTCTTCGTAGGAAATGTTTTGCTTAAGGAACACTTTTAGGTGTTAAATTGTTATTGTTGTATCTAGGCATTTCTTGCGTGTTTCCAATAGACCTTTCCACGGTTTTTCCACTTTAAACTTCTGACATGGACATGTTAGGGAAAATCCATCGACTCCGCTGAAGCTGAAAGGCCTTAAAGTCGCGAAATTTTACAGACGTCAGGGGCACCCAACGAGGATATAGTTCAAAACCACATGAACATAGCATTGTTGAACGTAATTTAGTATTTAAATCATAGATAAAGGCTTATTTTTATCCCCTAAAAATTTTTCATCTGTTCGGATTTCCTAGCTGAAAGTATAGTGATCCGAAAATTATAGGGATCAAAATTTAACTTTTCGAAAATTTCAGCCAGATAAAAGGCTCCCGAAAATTCTAGGTGACCTTTTTACGGTAAAAATCTGTTAAAAATGGGCAATTATACCATTTTTTTGATGTTCGAAAATCCTAGGAGAGGCAGGCAAGCAAGAAATTTTACAGAAAATGATCCGAAAATTCTAGATCTAAAATCGTCTTCCGAACAGATAATTTTCCGAAAATTATCGTTGGGTGCCCGTGAGACGTTTGTATTGTGGGGGTCACCAACTCGCTCCTCACCATACAAACGTCGATGATACTTTAACTGTCCTCCGAGTGCAAGGACGCTCTTGCTTGGTGCCACTACCTGAACGATTCGCAAATGATAACGATATCCTCGAAAGAAGAAAACGATTTCGCCGCTAGTCGATGGCTACGATCCTCTGACCCGCACTGTCTACGAATTTCATGGGTGTCTCTACCATGGCTGTCCCACTTGTTATCCTATGAGAAACGCCAAACATTATGCCACACCGGATCGAAGCGTGGAGGAACTGTATCAAGCCACGCTCTCTAAACGTATGGCTCTGCTTCGAGCGGGTTACACGGTGATCGAAATGTGGGAGTGTGACTGGGACAAGTTGGTGGCCATGGATGAAGCTGTCCAACGTTTCCTGACGTCGTTTGATTTGGTGGCACCCTTGGAACCCCGCGAGGCCTTCTTTGGGGGTCGCACCGGTGCGGTGGCCCTGCATGCCGTGGCTGGGGAAGGGGAGGAAATACGATATGTGGATGTCACGTCCCTGTACCCATGGGTGAATAAGAACTGCCCTTACCCTATCGGTCATCCCCAGATCATCACCCAGCCCGCCGACCAGTCTTTGGCGTCCTATTTTGGTATTGCTACGGTGGACATTCTGCCCCCGGCTGGTCTATTCCACCCGGTCTTGCCTGTACGCTGTGGCCAAAAGCTCACGTTTCCTCTCTGCCGTGCCTGTGTCCAGACAGAGCAAGCCCAACCCATGTTGACCCGAACCCAGTACTGCCCTCATTCCGACGCGGATCGTACACTACGTGGGACCTGGTGCACGCCCGAATTGGTCAAAGCGGTGGAAAAGGGGTACACCCTGATCAAAATCCATGAAGTCTGGCATTTTTCCCCCGAGCAACGCCAAACGGGTCTTTTCGCTGAGTACGTCAATACCTGGCTCAAACTCAAGCAAGAATCTGCGGGGTGGCCCAGTTGGTGTCAGACCCTCGAGCAGAAACGCGAGTACATTCATCGCTACCAGGAACGGGAGGGGATCCGACTGGACATTGCCAGTATTGCCAAAAACCCTGGTCGTAAGGCCACCGCCAAACTCATGCTGAATAGTTTCTGGGGCAAGTTTGGCGAGCGGATCAACAAACCCACCACCGTCACCGTTCAAAACCCCGCCCATTTGTTCAGCCTCGTTTCCGATGCGGCTCTTGATCTCAGTACGCTCCGCCTCTGTACCGACGACATTTTGGAAGCCGTCTACACCAGTGTCCAAGACAATGCTGTCAAAGGCACCAAGACCAACATCTTTGTGGCGGCGTTCACCACGTGTCATGCCCGATTGAAACTCTACGAGTCCCTGGACACTTTCCAGCAGCAAGTGCTTTATTATGATACCGACAGTGTAGTGTACAAGTGGCGTCCCGGTCAACCCAGCATTACCACTGGGGATTTTCTAGGGGACATGACGGATGAATTGGACGGGGATGTCATCACCGAGTTTGTTTCGGGGGGCGCCAAGAATTATGGGTACACGACCCGTGGAGGTAAAGTGGTGTGTAAGGTCCGCGGTTTCACGTTGAACGTCCGGGGGTCGGCCATTCTCAATTTTCATACCATGAAAGAGAACATTCTCTCAGAATTAGACTCGCCTCAGGACACTCGTCGAAATTTGAACATTGTCAACCCCTATCATTTCACACGGGATTTGGAAAAGAAACACATTCAAGTGGTTCCGCGCGTGAAGCAGTATGGATTGGTGTTTGATAAGCGTGTCATTGATGTGTCTACTCAATCCAGCTATCCCTATGGCTACGAGAGGATTGGGGACGAATTGGATCTTCTATTAGATTTGTAAACAATGGGCGTGACGTCACTAGGACCTCACACACGTCCCGGATGTAACTTAGGGTTTACGTGGTACGTTCATTAAAACCCATGCAATGATGTTGTCCTCAATAGAGTGTGTTTTTATTGACTTCCGGGGAATGCGAGGGGACTGGGGCTTTGGTTTGAGCGTCTCCCTTGTACCCAGGTTCTACGCGGTCCTTTCAAACTATGCCAAGTATGCGGATCCACCTCTTGGGTGGGGTCACGTGATTTTTATGCCCATATTTGGGAGCTTTGACGTCACTTTGGTCACATGGGCTGTATGCTTGATTCTGATTGGTCGAGAAAAATTTTGTTGCGCTGTGATTGGTTAGTCCCATTTGTAGCCTCATGTACTACTGACACGAAAAGGAGAGTCGCCGTCACTTCAAGCTTATGGGTTGTAATGGCGTTTCAGATATTCACCCTAGTTAACGATTTTCCATCTCTTTTGTCAAATGCAGGCAAATTTACTGCGGCTGTGGCGGTTGTGCATCGCCTGTTATGGACTTTACGTTATGTCATATTACATCATCTGGGAGTATCCTTTTTCCAAGTTTATCGACGACATATAAATGACGTTTTTTAAAAATATTTATTTAAAAAATAGCAGTGAACGTATTTCCCGCAGCTATGGCGTTTTTTCTCGTTATCCTCTCATTGCTTCAGAAGTTGATTCCAATCTTTATAGAACACGCTAAAAGGGTTCCGAGACGTTGGGATGTTACCGTGGAAACGGTGGGATTCTTTGTTCTTGTTTACAGTCGATTTATGGCCATGCCGATATTTTTCTTTCTAACACTCGTTGTTCAAATTTACATCCTGGAACTGAAGGACTTCCAAGAACAGATACAGCAAAGTGACAAAACTCTAACGGAACTTTATCCTCTCAGAGTATCTGGGGACATTCCCCGTTTTTCTTTGTGAAACTGTGTTTCTACTCTCCCTCCCGTCACCGCATAAATCAAGTCAAATAAGCTCACAACTCAGCCGTTTGATACTCACCGTATCCACTCTCGATAGCGAGGATCAGCGCCGAAGGGGATTTGCGTTAAAGACAGAACAAAAAATAGCTCTGTTGCTGGTCTGTTAGAAAGGCACCAGAGATATGGAAACGTTGGGTTTAAAGTTGCTGGCCTTCATATAACACAACTAAAATCTGTCTGGTCACAGACTCTTCTTGGTCCCGTTATTGTCTTCGTAGGAAATGTTTTGCTTAAGGAACACTTTTAGGTGTTAAATTGTTATTGTTGTATCTAGGCATTTCTTGCGTGTTTCCAATAGACCTTTCCACGGTTTTTCCACTTTAAACTTCTGACATGGACATGTTAGGGAAAATCCATCGACTCCGCTGAAGCTGAAAGGCCTTAAAGTCGCGAAATTTTACAGACGTCAGGGGCACCCAACGAGGATATAGTTCAAAACCACATGAACATAGCATTGTTGAACGTAATTTAGTATTTAAATCATAGATAAAGGCTTATTTTTATCCCCTAAAAATTTTTCATCTGTTCGGATTTCCTAGCTGAAAGTATAGTGATCCGAAAATTATAGGGATCAAAATTTAACTTTTCGAAAATTTCAGCCAGATAAAAGGCTCCCGAAAATTCTAGGTGACCTTTTTACGGTAAAAATCTGTTAAAAATGGGCAATTATACCATTTTTTTGATGTTCGAAAATCCTAGGAGAGGCAGGCAAGCAAGAAATTTTACAGAAAATGATCCGAAAATTCTAGATCTAAAATCGTCTTCCGAACAGATAATTTTCCGAAAATTATCGTTGGGTGCCCGTGAGACGTTTGTATTGTGGGGGTCACCAACTCGCTCCTCACCATACAAACGTCGATGATACTTTAACTGTCCTCCGAGTGCAAGGACGCTCTTGCTTGGTGCCACTACCTGAACGATTCGCAAATGATAACGATATCCTCGAAAGAAGAAAACGATTTCGCCGCTAATCTTGCTAAGGTAGGAGTTCAATACCTTTTTTATTCGACTCATTTTGCCTTTATGAAAACAAATAAGGTCTCTGCATAAAAGAGAAAGAAACCGTGTCTAAAAAAAACCCGATTATTCTGAGAACTATTTCAGATTAGTTTCTTCAGGTACTTCTCTGACTTTTGTAAGTATCAAAATATAGTAAAATTCCGACACACTTCTCAGTGGGGAGGGCCCCCCCTTTGTTTTTGGACCAAACTGAGGCCCGAAGGGCCGAAAAAACTTTTTTGGACCCCAATCGGGGTATAAGACGATTACGATTTGCGAGAAACCCTTGCGAGCCGGTGATTAAAACGACTTCGATGCTAACCCTGGAATCACGCTTACTGCTCGTCCGAACACTCTTCAGAGGGAGCTAAATGACACAATGTCGACACAGAAGGAAGGTCTGAAAATGCTAAAGGAATTCTGACGTATTTAGTGTTTGTCTAGAGAGGTTAATAAATAACAGAAGTATTTTCAGGATGTCTTATTTGCTGGTTCTTAGCTAGGAGTTTTAGAGAAAACCGTAAGCTCCACATGACAACATTATTTTTCATTATTTTTCATGAATTCGTATTCTTATTAAATCCAATCCAGTTAGATTTTGTATTAAATAAGAATTTTCCTTGTTCTTGTGCAAGACTATTTTTTACTGTCTTTTGTTGTTTTTAGAATTGTCGGAGTTACTTTTTTTCACTCATGGTCAAGTATCATGATTAAGAAAGAGACAAGAAAGGGCCTGAGGGTCTAGTGCCCACAATTTCCAGATGCTTAGAACAAGGCATGCCAACGAGAATTTTCTTTTCTTCCATTGTTTTGTTTCGTTCTTTAGTAAACGTTTAATTTGAAAAATAAAACACTGCGGTAAAGTGTCCGGACGTCAACCGATCGGTAATGGACTTCTGAGCTTGGATTACACAAATCTGTAGTTCTAGCAATGGACCGATGTAAGCAGTTGTCATTGATGATTGTTTGTACCTTATCCCCTAGTCTCCCTCGCAGCCGTTTTTTAGATGTCACGCAACGCTCCCCCAAAAAACGTTGCGTGACATACAAAAAACGGCTGCGAGGGAGACAACTTATCCCCCGTCGTTATGATAATTTAAAGCACGAAAGAAGCTCTAAGACTTTATATACTTACTAAAAGTAGCCTAAAAAACGATCCAGACCAGTATGACAAGTCGTTTCCACCCTTGAGGGAAATTTAAAAAGCAAGATTTAAACATCATTGAAAGAAATTGCATGCAGACTTTACTCAATCATTGTATCTCCATCATAATTACAATGTATCGGGGTATTTCTCATACCTCTATTTTACAATATTTTCTAATCACTCGGTTTAATTTTCACAGATGGAGTAAAGGTTATGGTCACTTAGACGGGAATGAATTGCTCATTGATTGATAAATCGATCAGTACTGATGGTTGTTTCACTGTGAGAAAATAGTTTACACAATTACACATGATTGGTCCATAATCCCATTGATTGGTCACCAATTTGTAAGGACTGTTTGGTCCTTTAAACTTGGGTGGAAATGGCAGGTGATTTTTCATCAAACATGAAAATGTTAGAATCAACTGCCAACTTACAATTTATTTGCATAGGTTTGATTATACAGTACATCGCTAAATATCCGGACTGCTGAAATTGGTATTTTAATACAAGTGATTTTTGGTCTATGTGGCTTAATTTTGGCTCATCCCGCCTTCTTTTCAAATAAGAAGAGAGAAGCGCTCCTGTTCTCTTGTATCTATTTATTCTTGTGCGGCGACGTGTAGTAAGTTTAACGAGGATTCGAACCACAATCCCTTCATGAAGTGTTCAGTTGTCTACAGTCGACTCCCGATAACTCGAACCTTCAAGGGAAATCGAAAAAAGGCACTGAAAAGGTTCGAGTTATCGGGAGTTCGAAGAAAATAGCCGAGAGTCGGGTAAAAAACAGTTTTTACTGCACAGTGAACATGTAATCACATCTAATTGTAGAAATGTCAAGTGAAAATTAAAAGATACTTCTAGATTATAAATCAGAACGTAATAGCCTAAATAGAGCATGCGTTTTACTGTTTTGAGAAGAAAAGCTGCTTCACTTTAGCCTGTGACAATCAACATCAGCCTCCACTAGTAAACTATACTCCTACAACACGTCAATAGGAAATCCAAAATTCAATGTTTCCGACGCCAGTAGACGGCTTTTTTCCCGACTTTCTAAGGGCTCAAAACATGGTTCAAGTTATCGAGGGTAAAACTACATAGAAAATGACCTGAGGGGAAACGAAAATTGGTTCGAGTTAGCGGGAGTTCGAGTTATCGAGGGTTCGAGTTACTGAGGGTAAAATTACAGTGAATGTCAGTATGACGGAAATCCAGGGGAAATCGATTTTGGTTCGAGTTAGCGCGAGGTTCGAGATAGCGAGGGTTCGAGTTATCGGGAGTCGCCTGTATTTCCTACTTTTCCTAGAACGTTCATGCTAAAAAAGAACTCTTGGTGCTTGATACATATCTGATGATGGTATGCTTGTCTGAAGCGAACAAGGGCTCCCGGCTCAGCAGATTTACATCAATGCTAGTTCCGTGGGTAATCGTAAATACAGTCGAAAAAGTGTAAAATTTCGCGACCTTAAACACCTTTTAACATTTTTATGTATGTGTGTGCGCGTGGTTTAGCAGGGCCAAGTGTTATTGCCATGTGTAATTTTTTTTGTATGTTAATTTTATATTGGTTGACATTTCACGGTCTACATGGACATACCGGTGGGTTTAAGAGAATATTTTGCATATTTGAATTTAGGCAGGACAACCGCTACTAATAGAATTTCCGAGAAACTGAAACAATAGAGTTATTCAAAGTACAATAATATGGCTAACTAAATTGCTTCGAAAAGGTAAAAGCCTCCATGTGATTTAAGGACATTGCATTTATTCCAGGTTTAGTCTATTTCAGTTGTAGCTTTTTCCACTAGAAAAGATGGCAAATTCTTCTTCGACAGATGAACGAGTGGACTTCACGTTTTATGTTCCTAAGGCTAAACGTCTAATTCCCTTACGCTTATCGAGTAACTCCCTGGAAGACTTCAAAAGAGCACTAAACGAGGCAAACTGCGTCGACGATTTTCGAGAAGAGGTAGAAAGAACTTTCAGCCAAAGCTATTGCGTAGTGCTGATTACCGAACAACAACTGAGGCGAGACAGCTCGATAGAAACATGTGTTTACCAGCAGAGTTGCAATGATGGCCTTACAACCACAGGCGTCGGTACCGAATCCTCTATTAATAACGATTTGCCACAGGTGATTGTTCATGAACCTCAAGAGGGTGATCATGACCCACTTGTAGTGCCAAGATTAAGCCTAAAAGATTTTGTTCTCTATACTTACATGTGGTCGACATTTCAGTGGATAGAGCCTAGAGAAAGCGGAAGTTATGCTAGTGGATTGTCGTTTCTGTTCTTCAAGACTATGAGAGTCACCGTCGCCTTAAGTTTATGGGCTGTAATGGCGTTTGAGATATTCAACCTTATTAACGGTTTACCATCCCTTTTGTCAAATGAAGGTAAATTTACAGCGGCAGTGGCCGTTATGCATCGCTTATTATGGACCTTACGTTACGTCATATTACATCATCTGGGAGTATACTTTTTTCAAGTTCATCGAGGACATATAAATGACGTCTTAAATAACAGTGCCCGTATTTCCCTCATTCAATGGAGGAAATCGCACCGGCTCATTCGGGATCTCATGGCAGCTACGGCGTTTTTTCTCGTTATCCTGCCATTGCTTCAGAAGTTGATTCCAATCTTTATAGAACACGCTAAAAGGGTTCCGAGAAATTGGGATGTTACCGTGGAAACGGTGGAATTCTTTGTTCTTGTTTACAGTCGATTTATGGCCATGCCGATATTTTTCTTTCTAATTCTCGTTGTTCAAATTCACATCCTGGAACTGAAGGACTTCCAAGAACAGATACAGCAAAGTGACATAACTCTAACGGAACTTCTCAGAAATTACAATGCGATGACCACAAGGATTCAAAATTCTTCGCGAGCTTTTCAGCCGTATTTGATGGGGCTTTTGTTCCTGTTGGTGCTTTGGGGGACAATAAGTGTTTACTCCAGTGTGGAAATGTTCCAGCATATCCCACCAACAAACAACATATTCTATGGTGTTATCCTCTCAGAGTGTCTGGGGACATTCCTTGTTTTTCTATGTGAAACTGTGTTTCTATTCTCCCTCCCGTTGTATAAATCAGGTCAAATAAGCTCACAGCTCAGCCGTTTGATATTCACCGTAACCACTCTCGACAGCGAGGATCAGCGCCGAATGGGATTTGCGTTAAATACAGAACAAAAAATAGGTCTGTTTGCTGGTCTGTTAGAAAGGCACCAGAGATATGGAAACGTTGGGTTCAAAGTTGCTGGTCTTCATATAACACAACTAAAATCTGTCTGGCTGACTCTTCTTGGTCCCGTTATTGTCTTCGTAGGAAATTTTTTGCTTAAGGAACACTTTTAGGTGTTAAATTGTTATTGTTTTATCTTGGCATTTCTTGCGTGTTTCCAATAGACCTTTCCACGGTTTTTCCGCTTTTAACTTCTGACATGGACATGTTAGGGAAAATCCATCGACTCCGCTGAAAAGGGTGCCCAGCCAAGATTGTCAAAGTCGCGAAATTTTACAGACGTTTGTATTGTGGGGGTCACCATACAAACGTTCACTGTAAATTTTCGCAACTCTGCGGACCTATATCTTCGCTCGCTTAAGATGTATCACTTTCAAAGTTGGCAATTCTACTAATTTTAAGAGACGCTCTTACCAATGGTGTGGACGGATTTTCTCTAAGTAATCCACGTCAAAAGTTGAAAAAAAGGGGGGAATAAGGGTCTCTTTCAAATCGGCCTTGCACAGCAATTGGTCTTAATTAGTTTTACATGCATTATACATTTTTCCTCTGTAAATTAGTTATTTGTTTATTTATTTATACGAATAATTGAAAAGCTAACTTTAATTCATTTACGTTCATCTTGTTGGTGCCCATATCTCTAAGCTCAGAAAAGGCGTCGGCACAGTCACATTTACACAACACAACTCATGAGAACAAGAGACGACTGGCAGAAAAAGGCAATAGGTCATTTCCGAGTTCCCCCGGGCCTCTGTATCAAAACCAGGTTAAGTGCTCAGCCTTTGATATGGAAATGATTTTTCATTCTCACGCAAATAAAACTCATTTTTACAAGAAAGGTTGTGCACTTGGCCTCATTTTGAAAGTGAGGGTTTTTGGAATTCGGAAGTGGTCTATTAGAACTCAGGACAAATAATGGTGGAATGAGTGCCTATCGGTTCTTCAGGCAGCAGGCGAAAAGACAACTGAAACTTGCGTCAAAAATTCAGGTGAAAAGTGAGATTTTCCATAGTCAAGGAAACAAACACTGTATGTAAAGTCCTTAACTGCCGTTTAAAATCTGTCAAAATCCTTTTGTCACATCGTTGTGTAACTTCCTACTGTACGTCTACAGTAAATTTAATGTAATCATGAAGGCAAGCGAAAGCGTGTTTAAGGGCTTTTAGTTTGATCACAGGCCCTACAGATCTTAATGAGACTGAACCTCAGACTGTTGGGGTTGGTGAACTAGAGTCCTCTTTTAGGAATTTAACAGAGCAACTGAGATGGGAGAGGAAGTGAGAAGCGAAAAGGGTCAATTCCAATATAACCAGAGGCCCGTAACGTTTAGTGATCTGGGGCCCGTTTCTCTCCCCGGAAACTTTTCGGGTCCGGAAAGCTGTTTAATGTTTGCCGCGTTTGCATCTGATTCAAGAAGAAAGTTTCAATAATTTTGAAAATGATACATTGAAATTGTCAGATAAGGAAGCGAAATTGACTGGTTTGTGAGCCAGGAACTGTGCTACTATTTAACAAGTTTTGATTCCAAAATTTGGCTTCGGACCCGAAAAGTTACGGGGCGTTTCGAGAAACGGGCGCGTGGCCCAAAAGCTGGATAAAGCTATCCTCCTGATAAATCACTCAGACTTGCCAAGTCTCACGACTTTTTCGGAGTCTCGCGATTTCACGACCTATCTGATGCTCTCACGAGTTGACAACTGATTTCCCACGCTTTCTCGAATAGTCACGCTTGGAGATGTAGGGTTCGTTTCCAAGTTAGACATCAACAGATAGCCAGCTCTATCCAAAGAAAACGCCAGCGGTCGCGACTGGCTGCTGCCACTAACACAGGGTCCAGAGGAGTTTCGTGTGAATAAATGAATTACTTATTTAAAGTCTCACCTTGAAAAATGTCTATACCTGTCGCTTAGCACGATTATTTAATTAGCCCAATGGGATCTTAATGAATCTACTGTAAACGATTTCTTTACTGCTTATCTGACCAGATCGACTTTGTTGTTTGCCATTTTGAAAGTCAATAACCGCAAGCCATATCCTCGCTGGTGCACGGAACGTCGCCCAAAGGGTGACCGAAGGCTGTCGCCCGAAGGGCGACCGAGGCACGAAGTGCCGAGTAAAAAAATGGACAACCCTGGGACAAGCTTTCCGTAGTTTATACTGGAAGCCGATCTTGCGAGCCCTCAGTCTCTTGGTTTGCGGTCTATAGAATGAGTAACGAACTGTAACGCGATCAAAATAACCCATTTTTTCAGAGGTTTTCGACGGGTTTTGATGTTCTAACGACAAACACATCTCCTCTGGACCCTGTGCCACTAATTGTGCATTAAAATGTTTCTCTTTTTCAACTTCCACTAGGAAATATGGAACATCTCAAGACTTTTTACCCATTTCTCACTTCTTTTCCTAGCTCTAGGTTCCAATTCTCACATTTTTTGCCTAGTTTGAATAAGAAGCCAAGAACGCTGTGTGGGAGGTTTCAAACCCTGGGGCCTGGGGCCCGTTTCTCGAAAGGCCCGGTAACTTTTCGGGCCCGAAATCAAATATTCAAATCGAAATATAATGAATAAGAGCGCGGGTCCTGGCTAGCCAACTACTCCATTTTGTTTCACTAACTGATAGTTTTATCATGCTAGATGCAAAACAAGAGACTATAAAGGGGACAGAGAGGGCATCCCCCATATACACCCTATTCCATAGGTAATTCGTCTCGAGTTATTTTTAGAATCGGGATAAAGTTACCTCGCGCGAGGCGTGGATGTTTCGTGGAGGTTTCGCATGACCAAACGCCGTGCAAAACATGTCGGGTGAGAGCAGGGCGGATAAAGGTTGGGCGGTGAAACGAGCGCGTCAGAGCAAAAAGGTGTGATGCAGTGGACTGGGCCTCTGCTTAGAAGTGACGCTTGTTTTCGACTTCGATCAGGGCTTGCGATATGATGTGGTTTGTACATTAGACAATGCCGCTGTCACCGAATTATGGCGGCTTGAATTGTTTTCTTGCACTTTTTCCTCGTTCCTTTGTGCTGGTACGCTGTCTCCGAGAGGCAAATGTTGCTATTTTTTACGGGAGGTTTAGTTGGAGTAGACAAACATCTCTTGCAAAGGGTTTCTCTTATTACTTCCATGACTCTACTACTGATGTCGATGTCGATGTTATTCCAAAACAAAAACAACTAAGTACTGTCTAAAACACGAAGGAAAATCTCATCCATGTCATCCATGGCAAAACTTTTAAAAGACAGCAGATCGTGTTTCATAACTAGATGACGTGTATTTTATAAATGCGTGCAGCTCGTGCAAGGTGAAATTATGCTAATTTCAATCACCAGCATCCTTCTTTTTAATTTTGAAAAAAACATCTCAGACGTCTTTCCGTTTCTTCGAAACTTCAAAATTAGTTTCCCCTCAGTTTTTTCTGTTTACCCTGTTTTGTTTTAGAGAGAAAAAACGGAGAAAAAACCTTACAACTAGCCTCAATAAATTTTGTTTACATGCGGTTGCCGGATTTCCAACGCATTGCGCGAATCGCCATGGCGCGTTGCACCCGAGAAGCAAAGTTTGAAGAAGTACAACGCCACTACATCAATATATATCAATCTAATTTTTTGTTATGTTATGTAAAATTTATCCTCCTTTAACATATGTAAAAATTGAGGTTAAGAAGTGTTAAGCTTTTGCAAACGAAACGGCGAAAGACGATTAGGTGATATTTAGTGGAAGGAGGAGGTATTCAACGCTTTCAAATTAAANCGCGGACGACAACTAGAACGTCAAAAAAACAATAGGTTTAATTAGCAAAACAACAACTTCGCACGTGCAACACACTTTTTTGTTCATTTCTTTCCCGTTTTTGCACGACTGCGACGTGAAAATGCCTAATTTCGCGTTTTATGGAGGACGTAAATAAGCAACGACGAAATTTTATTTCTCTTTCTGAGCTTGAATATGGTCCCTTGAAATTCAGCTTTAGGAGGGTTCGCCTACAATTGACAAAGTAAGTGGGAGGAATAATCGCTATAAAGACTGAAAAAAATAAACATCGAACCAGAAATTGCTCTCTTCAAACTGTAAATTATAAATGATCCTGAGAGAATATTCAGTGTGTGTTAAGGATTTCCCTGCTCTACTGTTAGCTCTATGAAGGGCGATTCTTTTTTAATTTCGGTTTAGCTGACACAGCTTTCGCAGAAATCTCGCTGTAGTCGTTTTCGTCGACAAAAGGAATAGCAAAATCGCTCTCCGCGTCTTCCCCCATTTTGTTCTGCGTCATTTCGTGAAGGACGCGTGGCTCTCAGCGTGGGTCATCCGCGCGGAACACATTCGCGCTATGTGATTGGCTGTTGTCTAATCCCCCTTGAGATCTGTGGTGTTAAAAATAACTCGAGACGATTTACCTATGGAATAGGGTGTATATGGGGGATGCCCTCTCTGTCCCCTTTATAGTCTCTTGATTCAAAACTATTGAAACCTCGATCTTTAATGTAAACGGCGACAGCTTACCGGGCCCGTTAATTATCGGGACTTTCGAGAAACGGGCCCCTGGGCACGATAGGTGCTCGCTATACTTTATGGGTAGGTTCACAATGGCGGACAACATGGCGACGACGTAGGATGGACATGCTGCGATAGCTCTTTCCACGAACAGTTTGGAGGCTATCTTTGTCCTTTTGTTTACCACTATAGTGATGTCCGCCTCACGAGCAGCTCTTTCATTAATAGAGTCAGCTATTAAAAAACATAACGTCGTCGTGTTCTCCAAAACAACATGCCCGTTTTCAGTTCTAGCCAAGAGGATTTTAAGTGAGGCAGGAGTTGAGGAGATGAAAGTTTACGAAATCGAACAAAGGCAAGACGCTGCGGAGATCCAGGTGAGAATATGGAAAGTTAGCCATTTAAGAGACAAAATGAAAATGGTGATGAAAATTTATACAGTAATGGTTTGCCGATAGAAATCTTCCTCTCCTGATCTTGACAGACAGGTTTTAATACTTTGGGGTATTTACCATGATTGTACCAAATGCATCAGTCAATTCCAATCTCGCTCCCAGCTGGAAGTATACATGTAACTTCTTATTACTGTGCAGATTATTCCTTTTAGCCCCAGTATCCACATGCA